ACCGAGAGCCTACAAATAAAACCACACATCTATGGACAGTTAATCTTCAACAAAGGAGCCAAGAACGTACAACGGAGAAAGGAAAGTGTCTTCAATAAATGGTGTTGGGAAAACTGGACAGCCATATGCAAAAGAATGAAAGTAGACCATTATCTTATACCATGCACAACAATTAACTCAAAATGGCTTAAATGAATGTAAGACCTGAAACCGTAAAATTCCTAGAAGAAAATATAGACAGTACACTCTTTGACATTGGTCTTAGCATCTTAGCAGCATCTTTTCAAATACCATGTCTACTTGGGCAAGGGAAACAAGAGAAAAAATAAACAATGAGACACATCAGACTACAAGGCAAAGGAAACCATGAACAACACGAAAAGACAGCCCACCAACTGGGAGAAAATAATTGCAAATCATATATCTGACAAGGGGTTAATTTCCAAAATATATGAAGAACTCATACAACTGAACAACAACAAACAACCCAATCAAAAAAATGGGCAGAGGATATGAACAGACATTTTTCCAAATAAGATATACAGATATTCAACATCCACATGAAAAGATGTTTAACGTCACTAATTATTAGGGAAATGCAAGTCAAAACTACAATGAGCTATCATGTTGCACTTGTCAGAATAGCTATAATTAACAAGACAAAACATAACAAATATTGGTGAGGATGTGGAACAAAGGGAACCCTCATACACTGCTGGTGGGAATGCAAACTAGTGCAGCCACTATAGAAAACAGTATGGAGATTTCTCAAAAAATTAAAAATAGAGGGGCTGGCCCTGTGACCCAGCGGTTAAGTTCACACACTCCGCTTCAGTGGCCCAGGGTTTCACCGGTTTGGATCCTGGGAGAGGACCTAGCTCTGCTCATCAGGCCATGCTGAGGCAGCGTTCCACATAGCAGAGCCAGAAGGATCTACAACTAGAATATGCAACTATGTACTGCCGGGCTTTGGGGAGAAGAAGGAGAAGAAAAAGAAAAAGAAGATTGGGAATAGATGTTAGCTCGGGTGCCAATCTTTAAAAAATAATAATAAAAAGTAGAAATATCATATGATCTAGCTATACCACTACTGGGTATTTATCCAAAGAACTTGAAATCAATGATACAAAGAGACCCGTGCTCCCTTATGTTTATTGCAGCATTATTCACAATAGCCAAGACATGGAAGCAACCCAAGTGCCCATCAACTGATGATTGGATAAAGAAGATGGGTATATAAAACAATGGACTGCTACTCAGCCATAAAAAGACAAAATGGTTCCATTTGCAACAACATGGATGGACCTTGAAGGTATTATGTTAAGCGAAGTGAGCCACACAGAGAAAGACAAACACTGTACAATTTTACTCATATGTGGAAGATAAACAAACACATGGACAAAGAGAACAGACTAGCAGTTACCAGAGGAGAAGAGGGTAGAGGGTGGGAGAAAGGGGTAAAGGGGCACACATATATGGTAACAGATAAAAACTAGACTATTGGTGGTGAGAACAATGTAGTCTATAGAGAAACTGATGTATAATAATGTAAACCTGAAATTACATAATGCTATAAACTGATATGACCTCAATAAAATAATTTTAAAGAAAAAGAATTCGTTGAACGGCAATTTCCAAGGTCATCGAGATTCTCAGAGATCTGGGCTTTGTAAGTTGCCACAAATACCAGTGGGAGGGACAAAGCTGGTTAGAAGTTTCGACTCCTTAGGCACAGAAGACCCTGGGAAGGACGAGCAAGATGGGCTGTGCGGCCTCTCCTTCACAGGGATCTCTGCGAACCATAGCCTACCTGTCAAAGTGGGGAAGGGCCTGGCCTTCCTGGAGGGAGAAGGGCAAGGGAGCCCTCTCAGAGCCCCACCTGATCCGACAGTCCATGAGACATGGGATTTCCAAGCAAAGGAATGTGAGCTCAGCTGTAGCCCCAGAGGCAGAAGGGATGCGGGCCCTTGGGGTGGGAAGGGTCGGGTGCGGTTAGCATTTCACCAGCGCCTTCCCCTATATTGCTTCTCCTCCACAGGCTTAGAAGCCTCAAGGGTACTGAGGTCACTAGACAACACGTTTAATGTCACTAGGAGAGGCCAGTGAGACCAGGACACCAGGGGATGTGTGCTGCCTTATCAAGTGTCCAGCAGCTCTGCTGGGCCTGCGTGTAAAGAGGCCATTAGGAAGTTTGTGCTCTGCCCCTTGTTGCAGGACAGCAGTGGTCTGTCCGGGCGCGTCCTCCCTCCACTCGCCTCCTCCAGCCCCACCAAACTCTGCCCTGGCTCTGACAGCTGAGACCCTCCACGACGGATGAGTTCTTCTCCAAGGAATAGAAAACCAAGTTTGTATCCAGCCGCATCGCTCCCTTCCTTTGCTAAGTCACAGAATCACCTGAACATTTATTTCCTTGTTTAGGAAATGGCAGCAGTAACACCTTACCTTGCGGGGGTGTTTGGAGGGTTAAATGAGATAAAGCATGGAGGGCGCCCAGCCTTGAGTCTGGGAACAGTGGGTGCTGGTCGTGGCTGTCCTCCCGGAGCCGGACCATGCTGTCCTGAGCTCAGGCAGCGAACAGCGGAGGGCAGGGGCAAGTCTTACCCATCCTTGTGCCCTCAACACCTGCGCGGTGCCCAGCATGCCCTAGGGTATCCAGCAAACCTGTGTGGAAACGAACTAAATTTGAGAACCAGTCAGAAGGTCATGGAAAAGGGAGGGTCTGCCAGGTTCTGCCCGTGACCCTAGAAGGGCAAGGACCTGAATCCCCACCACCAGCCCAGGACCAGCTCCCCTACGCCCGCCCAGGTCTCAGTCGGTGTCTCGCAGAGCTGTCTCTTCCCCTCGTCTTGAGGGCCTGCACACCGGTGTGCTGTTGACGTGCTCTGTTCCTACCTGATTAGGTCTCAGGACAGCTCCAGCCAACTCCAGTCTCCCTGCATACTGTCCCTCAGCCCCATTATACCATCAGGCTCTGAGCCCCCTCCCGCCCTACTCTCCTCACTCACTTTGTTACCAGATAAAATACAGCATGCCCAATTAAATTTTAATTTTGGACATACTTATACAAAAATGATTTGTTGGGCCTGGCCCCATGGCCGAGTGGTTAAAGTTCTGCATGTTCTGTTTCAGTGGCCCAGGTTTGTGGGTTCAGATCCAGGGTGCAGATCTATTCCACTCACTAGCCATGCTGTGGCAGTGTTCCACATACAAAATAGAGGAAGCCTGGTACAGATATTAACTGAGGGACAATCTTCCTCAAGCAAAAAAGGAGGCAGATTGGCAACAAATGTTAGCTCAGGGTGAATCTTCCTCAGCAAAAAAAAAAAAAAAAAGGGAGAGAGAAAAGGATTGATTGTTTATCTGAAATTCAAATTTCACTGGGCATCCTACTTACTAAATCTGGCCATGCCACCTAGGGAGTATCTTTCTACCAGCCATAGCCTTCCCTTCTTCCATACCTCTCTTCCAGCCCCACCAGAACCTAACTGAGTTGAACAGCTGAGACCACTCATTCATGTATTCATTCACTCATTCAACAAACTTGTATTGCATGTCTACTGAGCACTAAGCCCTCCGCTAAACATTGGGGTACAACGTGGGTACAATGGTGAAACTGTCATAGTCCCTGCCCTTATGGGGCTTACATTCTAGTCATTGACAAAAGTAAAAGTAAGTGAGGGGGCCGGCCCAGTGGTGCAGTGGTTAAGTTCACTCCTTCTGCTTCAGCAGCCTGGGGTTCACAGGTTTGGATCCTGGGCACGGATCTACACACAGCTCATAAAGCCACACTGGTGGGCATCCCACATACAAAATAGAAGAAGATTGGCATGGATGTTAGCTCAGGGACAACTTTTCTCCAGCAAAAAGAGGAAGATTGGCAACAGATGTTAGCTCAGGGACAATCTTCCTCACCAAAAAAAATAAAATAAAATAAAAGTAAGTGAACAAATAAATGAAATGATTACAAATGTAACAAGTGCTATTATGAAAATAAACTAAATGGACTGTTGAAAAGGAGAGGGCTGGTTTGGACAGGACAGTGAGGAAAATCTCTCTCGGGAGATGACACCCCAGCCAACCTGAAGAATGAGAAGGGGGCTGGCTATGGATCAGGGGAGGAATTCTAGGCTGTGAGGGAGGTAAAGAAATTTGACTGAAAGAAGAAGGAGTGCCTGGCGGGTGGGGAGGGCATAGGATGAAGCTGGGGAAATGGGAAAGGTCCAGAATCACTCAGGGCCTAATAGACTATAGGAACGTTCCGAATACACGCATGCACCCACACATACATGCACACACGCATGAACGCACACACATGCGTGCACACATGCACGCGCACACTAAAAGGCTGAATGACATTTAACCTGACAATTCTTAATGCTTCGTGGAGGTTGCAATGAAGGATCCTCAAGTTGGAAGCAGGCAGACCACCTGTTACAAGGCCACCGCAGAATCCAGGTAAGAGATGATGGTAGTTTAGAAAAAAACGGTGATGGTGGCAATTGAAAGAAATGGTGGAATTAGAAGTAGACTTTGGAGGTAGAATTTGCTAGACTTGAGGATAAACTGGCTGTGAAAGAAGAGGAGGACTCAGGGATCAGTCCTTAGTAACTATAGGAAGGTGGAGGTGATAGAAACCTAGGGGTCACAGGGGCAAATCAAGGGTTCTGTCTGGACGGGCTGAGTTCAAAAGGTCCAGGAGACCCCAGGCAGAAATGTCAGGGGGGCACAGCTTTTGGAGGTCGGCACCCAAAGAGGAGGATTGGGCTAGACTCAGAAACGCAGGCTGCCACCACGGGTGGTGTCTACAGCCACGGAGACGTGGAGAGAGGACCAAGGGCACTCGCAGCAGGTCACTCTGAAGAGGAACCTGAGAAGAAGCCGAGGAGGAGCCACCAGTGGGCAGGAAGGAAACCAGGAGAGCCCTGAGTGCAGACAGGCAGAGAGGCGACGGCGGCGGCAGGGGTGGGGGTCGGCTGAGCTAACGCTGCTGACAGAGGGAGGGAGGGAGGCGAGAAGCACTCCTCGGGTTTGGTGAATCTAGAATGAACAGGGGCGGCGGAGTGGGTGGTGGGGCAGAAGCTAGGCTGGAGAGGGAGCAGAGGCAGCAAGTGTCCACCATTCTTGTGAGGAGAGTGGCTGCAAAAGGAGTTGAGCAGTGGGACTGTGGCTGGAGGGGCCAGGGTCTTGGGAGAGAGAGAGAGAGAGCACGTTGGCCGATGGGAATGGTCTGGGAGGAAGCAGGAGAGGGGGGTACAAAGGAGGGAGGGGGGTGAACCCTCCCTCACTCCCCTGCCTTCCCCATCAGAGAGGAGGGAGTCCCTGCCCTTGGGCCTGGACACAGGCACAGGGCTCCTCCCCAGGCTGGATGGAGGGGAAATGTCGAGGCCCAGGGTGGAGGAAGCTGGGAGGAGAGGCCCTGCCTTGTTCTGGAAATAGAAAACCAACACTGGTAACTGAGTAACTCCTGGAAAGGGGGCAAAGGCACCGGCAGAGTCTGAAGGAGCAAAAATAATCTGTCCCGCTTGGGCAGCCAGGTGGATCGGATGTGGGGGGTGGAGAGGCCCGGCCTGTGGTCCCTCAGCCCCCAGTGCCCCTCCCTGGCCTGCAGGGGTGAGTAGTGCTCTTCTCAGTCTTGCTCCGGCCAGGCCTGGAGCCTAGGTTCCCCGTAGACAGAACATCAAGTTAAGGCCATGCACTCAGAGCCCAGGCCTGTGGAGCTCGGTTGCCCCTGCCCTGCACTGCCTGCTCTGGACTCCAGGTGAGCGTACCACCCAGACAGACAGAGCAGAGCCCCACCAAGCCCCAGCCAGGCAGGGAAGGCCTAAGCAGAGGGTTCCAGATAAGCAGCACCACCTCCCTCAACCCCACTTACCACCCCTCGGTGACCACACCAGCTGGAAGTCATAGCCCACTTTCGTGCCCTCCTTGACTGCTCCAGCCTCTCTCAGATCTCCCTCTTCGGAGGTCCACAAGCTTGTGCCACATGTCCCCCCACCACACCTATACACACCGCTGGATTACAGGTTCCTCAGAGGGGGTGCTGATCTAACAGCATCAGTGAACTGATTGAGTGATGGGTCGGTTTTGAGGGCAGAAGCTGCCGAGTGAGGATCTGGGCCACCTCCCTTTCTGCTTCAGCACCCCTGTCCCCCCTCACCTCAGGGTGAAGGCTGCCACAACTCTCTGCTTCACCTCCCCCTCCCCAGGGTCCCCTCTAAGATCACAGGAAGCAAGAGACACATGTGCTCATCCAGCAGACAATGCTGGAAGATAGGGTAAGGCCGAGGGCACCGCTCTGCTCTAGGTTCAGCCCCCCAGCCCCGAGGGCATGCCATCCCCCCAAGAAGAGCAGGGCTTGGGGGAAAGAAGCTGGCAGGCCCCAGAGAAGGGGGTTGGGCCCTCTCTCCTGAGGAGGAAAGGAAGGTGAGAATCAGTGACCTGAGAAGTTTCCATGAACTCTGGCTATGAGGGAGAAGTGGGGGGAGAGGGCAGCAGGAGCCGAGCAAGGCGCAGGAGGAAGAAAGCAACCTCGTAAAGTGGTTTCCTTACCATAAACTTCTAATAGGATCTCATGGCAAACAGACACACTGGACCTGCCCTGAGGAATGAGGAGGGCCGGGAACCACGTGCCACCAGGACGTCGGAGGAATTAGCAGTGTTTGGAGCAGAGGGGATCATGGCTCTGTACAGCTGGGGGTCCGATGCTGGATGAGAGGAGACCACTCCCCCAGCAAGGACACAGAAGCTGTGCCCATCCCTGCCCCCTCTGCTCCCAGCACAGAAGTGCCCAGAAGTGCCATCTGTTTACAGGTAAACTGGAATGTGAGTGACAGAAGGGTCGTGGCTGGTCCTCAGAAGCACCAAGTTCTGTATCCCCCGCTGCTGACTCAACCACCTCCCCGCCCAATACCTCCCTCTCAAGCTGACCTGAACAAAGAGGCCGCAAGTTTCCAGTTGTAAAAACTGGGGAGGAGTGATCAAGAGCAAAGATCAAGGCTCTGGATTTTCCATGACTCTCGTGCAGGGTGGGGGCACCATGCCTATCTGGCACAGTTCCCATCACCCATGCCCTCTGGGAAGCAGGAAGCTGCCATCTGGGCAGGGGGCAGTGCCAGTCTCACCTTCAGCATGGTGCCCTCTCCAGGGGCAGCGTTGACAAGAGGCACGCTCCCTGTCCTGCAGGCTGGCTGTGCAGAACCTCCTGAACTCTGGGTCCCCCAAGCCAAATTCCTCCCAGTCCTCAGAGATCAGACCCTCTCAGAGGCCAGGAACTCGCCCAGTACTGCGCAGCACTGCGCAGACCTGCAGCACTGCACAGAGGTCAAGGGCCAGGAGGGAGAAGGAAGGGGACCGGAGACAGGAGACAGGGGAGGGAGATGAGGACTTGGGGTGGGGGGGTTGTAAGGGAATCCACTTGCAGGAGGTCAAAGGGCAGCTGGGATGGGCTGCCTCCCAGGGCAGGGCCAGTCTCCTTGTCCTCCCCTTCCTCTTACACCTACTCTCTCAGCTTCTGGGAGAACAGGGGAGTCAGGACACAGAGGGGTCCACCCAGGTAAATGAACGATGGAACATCCATTTACTGGAATATTCTTCAGCTGTTAAAAACAGTGAAGTAAATCCATACACAGTGACAGGGAAGACGACCAAGGAATCGAAGTGAAAAAAAAAGGTGAAAAACAATCTGTAGATTCTGATACTATTTTGTTAAAAATAATTAAACCTAAAACTACTGCATTTGGATGTGGCTTTCTAAATAACTATATATTTGAATGTGCTTAGAAAGAAGGATAAATGCCAAATTGTTCAAAGAAATTAAGTCTAGGATCATTTGGATTAGAATTAGAGAAGAGGAGAGACTTTACATTTGAACTTTTTATAAGAAGCACATATAATTTTATAATTAACAGAAAAAAGATGAGGATGGGGAAAATGGTTCAGAGCAATCCAAGTGTGTAGCTAGAGCTGGGCATGCACACGGACATGCCAGGTGCACAACACACTTGCATGCTCACACCAAGCACACCTGGCCCACCAAGGAGGGCGCACCTGGTAATTCTGGCAAAAACTTGGGCACACACCTGGTTCAGGCACATCCTCTCAGTCCCGGGTTCCCTGGGCATGTGTCAGGCAGGGCCCAAAGCTCTCTCTAGGCATCGGTCCCGTCCCAGATCAGCCCCCAGCTCCTCTTGCTCTCCCAACTTCCAATGGGCTCTATCACATCCTGCCAGGTACTCATACAGCAGGACCCTGCGGAGTCACGTGAGTCAACACATCTGGGAGGGGAGCACCTGGGCAGGCTGTGAAGGTGGCCTCCCCTTCTCAGGGGCACAGGGGTGTCGGGCTCCAACACCAAGGTTGTCTCAGAGTTTCCTGTGGATTCTGGTTTGACTAAGAAACTGCCCTGGGCATCAGCCAATCCAAATATGATCCTGGTTTTACCACTTACTTGCTGGGTGGCCTTGGACTAATTATTTAACCTTTCTGAGCCTCAGTTTCTTCATCTGTAAAATGGGAATAAGAAGGTTATTGTGAAACTCAAAGATGATAACATCTAAGAGACTAAATGCTTTGGAAGACAAACAAGGAAATGAGGATCACAAAAGTCAGGACACTGGTTCCCTTCAGGGCGGAAGGATGGGGCTGTGATCAGGGAAGGACACGGGACTTCTGGGGTGCTGACAGTAGTCTATTTCTTGACCTGGGCTGTGGAAACACAGATGTGTGATTTATAATTATTTACTAAACTGGACATCTATATTTAATATATGTCTGGTATGTTTCATAGTAAGAAAAAAACGCTTTGGAAAGTTTCACATTCAGCATAAGCAAAAGTAGTATTAGGAAGTACAACCCCCATTCTCATACCCTCTGAGAAGCCCTCGGAACTCTCAGTTTTGCTGTGGTCGGAGTTAGCCAGGTGGCAAGGATCAGCTAATAAGCAGAGATGTCAGTGATAGATTTAGACCCATGTTGTCCTCCTTGCTGGGGGAAACCTAGGAGGGCAGAGGGGAGGAAGGGGTGTGGATCGCTACTGGGGAGACCTTGAAGAAAGCTCTCAATCCAGTCAAAACGGAGCCTGCCCTTCCCCAGGGTTCCTCCCCACTGCAGGCTGCTGAGGACTGTAGGCACAGCTCCCCACCCAGACTTCCTGGTGGGGGCAGTCCTCGCCCCCACAAAGCTCCCTGATCCCCAGACGGGCTCCCTTCCACCCTCACCCATCACTCCTTATTCCTCAACAGCACAGCCCCATCCTCAGTCCTCAGGCCCAGCACTTCCCGGCTCCACTGGCCTCCTGCCTTACCCCTGGAAGCTCAGCCGCCTACTTCTAAGTGAGATGCTCTGCCACCAATAGCTCCCCGAGGCTCCAGAGCCCCGTCTGCACAAGCGCATCACCCACTTTCCCCTCTGACTCAGGTGGAGGGAGTCCTCAGCAGAACTGGGTAAGGAGGGCAGGGCCTCCCTGCCGCCCAGGCCCGAGACCCCTGGGCCCCAGCACACGATGGCACCAGGCAGCCCTCAGGGCTGAGCCCATCCTGCCATCAGAGTCCACAGGAATTTCCATGCAGGCCTGGCCAGGGGCACTGCCTGGTGACTGTCAACTCCCTATCCCCACATCTGACTCGCTTTCTGACTTGGCTTCTGTTCGACTCTATGATTTAGTTTCTTTCCCATCTCTGATTTTCTGTGGGTCTCTGTCTCTACCATCCTCCCCAGCCAGCACAGGGGTAGCACGAACCTTCCATCTGCCTCTGGGGGGGCCTGAGCCTCTGCCCGCTCAGGAGGTCTCTCCACCTCGACCCAGGGAGGCGATGGAGGTGAAGATTTCAGAAAAGAGCCTGAGGGCCTCAGTGGTAGAGCAGAGCCAAAAGGGTCTTAGAGGAAGCTGATGAAAACTGGGGCGCAGGAGGAGGGACCCTCCCTTTAGGGAAGTTCAGGAGCAGAGGATGTTGTCAGGGAATGAAGAGCAGCTGGGGTGGGTGGGAGGCTATGTGAGGTCTCATTATAGGAGCCAAGAAGGAAGCTGAGTTCTGGAGAAACATCAGTCTTGGGTGAAATAAAGGGGGGCTTCAGGGATAGTTCTGACAGTCAGTTTTTTTCAGTGTCTAACCTCAATCCTGGCTGCTGCAGAACCACTCTTTCCCGTCTATTTCTTGCATTTTCAGAATTCATGCGGGGCATAAAGTGAAAGCATGTCCAAGAGGTGCTTGTGAGGGGCGGTGAGTCTTTCTCCTCAGCCTGTGAAGCCACCAGGGTGCCCCCTCCCCACCCCCAACCACCTGATAGCTCCCCAGTCCTGGGCACGACCCAGAGACCAAGTTGCAGGCAGTGGTGGCTCCAAGCCATTTAGACAATCTTCCTTTCACAAGCTTATTTATTATTCTTTTCCCACCTCTCCACCCCTTCCCCACCAGCTGCTTAAAATATTTTTCAAACAGAAAAATCCAACCACAGCTGGAAACCAACCCTAAAGTTAGTCCAGAACGTGGGAGCTGCCAGGGAAAATTGAAGGAGCTCAGGCGGGGCTGTGGGAGGAAGGGCCTCAGCCACGGAGACAGCATTGCTCTGCAGGGGCCCGCGGGAGACAGCAGGCCAGGGGAGAGGGCACCCGGACCCCATCATCACTCCACAAACAGTCAGTGAGGACCCACTGTGGCCAGGCCCTGTGCTGGGACCCTGCGGGGACACAAATTGGCTTAAAGAGACAGACCCTCTCCTCAAGGAGCTGCAGGCCTAGTGAGGAGGTAAGGCACAGACACAAACATGCCAACGACAACAGCATACACTTAGAGGATTTCCTAGACAGTACGAGGTCCCTGCCTAAGCACTTTACATGCAGGAACTCATGTAAAGCCCTATCAACTCTATAAAGAAGGTACTATTGTTCTCCCCATTTATAGAGGGGGAAACTGAGGCACATAGAAGTTACAAAATTCTTACCCCATCATCCAGCTGGTAAGTGGTGGAGTCAGGCTCTGGGCCCAGGGAGGCCAGAATTCATGTTCTCAGCCACTGTGCTATGCCGCCACTGTAGGATCATGCAAGGGGGGCCAATCCCCCAGGAGAGAAGTATAAACAAATTAACGAGAATTCAAAGAAGGGAGAGATGGTCTCTGACAGAGGGTCAGAATCTAGGAGTGCTTCACGGAGGAAGTAACATTTATGTGCTGCTTCTGGAAGCAATTTGGGGATTTTGTGCCTATGCTCAGGGCCAGGGCCAGAAGGCATATAGCAGAGAAAGCTGAGGCAGGAGCAGAGGCAAAAACAGGACCCAGGAGGCCCAGCTCCCAACATGTGACCACCATCACTCGAGAGGCTGTCCTCACAGTAGCCCAGCAGAGGGGAAGGATGAGCAGCCAGGCCAGGCTCAGCCATTGTGGACAGTGACTCAGATTCACGGTCCATCCATCTAGCACCCCGGGCTGCTTTCTCAGCCGCCTCCGACATCTCCCTGCCTGCTCAAGTCTCTCCCTCTGTTTGTACTGGTCCCTTGCAAACCTGCTCATGAGGATGAGGGAAAGACAAAAGTCACAGCACTCTAAAAACTCTTTGTAATACAAATGTTTGGTAGCATCTAATTTAGACAGAAATCACCAGGCTGTCCTGGTTGGGATGGATGGCCCAGGAGGCGGCCACACAGCCATGTGGACCTGACCCATCTTCTCCCTGCCCTCCCTCCACTTGTCTCTGTGATCTTTTCCAGGTCACTTGGCATCTGTGGGCCTCAGTTCTCTCTCTGGATCAGTTTGGGGTGCTCTCTTTCAGGTCTGAAAGCCCTGTGAGCTCAGAGTACTCAGTCCTCTTCTCCATGCCTAACGACTTGCCAAAGAACGACCAGCTGGGTGGATGCTCGAGGCTGATCTAAAGATGGTGGCAATACTGCCAGGACGCAGGCCTGGCCGGTCTCCTGTGTGCCTTCAACTGCAAGCTTCTAAGGGCCTGTTGCTAGAGAAGCATCACCATGATCTCAACTGCCACAGATTGAATACTTATGCCCTCACAGGCACGATTCTCAGAGGCTCTCATGGAATAACTTATTACCTCATTTCAACAATGCTACATATGAGGAAACCGAGGCACAGAAAGAGTTAAGGATGATGCCCAAGGTCACACAGTAAGTGAGGGGCTGAGGCAGGATTCCCACGCAGGCAGCCTATCTCCAGCCGCCACTGGAAGAACATGGGGGCTTCAATCCAGAGGAAGCATCTAGAAGGCAGGGACTATGTCCTGCTCGTTACTGTCTCCCGCCCTGACTCCCTGGGGGACTGGGTTGGCCTCGACTGGCATGGAGTGGTGGGGAGACAAAGCTTGAGTTCCAATGGGTTGCTAATGTCCAGGAATTTGTGCAAACTACCTCCCCCGAGACCCACAATGTGAAGGGCTCTGAGGCCTTCCCAGCTCTGGACCAACTCAACTCCAGCCATAGGTTCCAGCTGCAAGCACCTACCTGTCCCAAGGTGAGCCTTGCCCAGGTGCATCCAGATCCCAGGATGGACAGCTGGCTCCTTCCTGTCCCACCAGGCACGGGCAGGCCAGGCCAGTCCTGGGCTTGCTGCTGCGCTAACCCAACTTGGGATAGGCTCCTTCCCTCAGATCCTTTCTGCAGAGGTGAACAACCCAAACCTCCGCAGGTTTTAAAGCTGAGCCTCAGGGAGAAGAGAACTTCCAGTCTGGAGGCCCCAGATCCCGGGCCTCCCGCGCCCCCTGGCGGAAGGAACAGAGCTGTGTCCGTGCCTGTACTGCCTCTGAATCCAGCCTTCCCTTCCCCTCCTCCTCTCCATCCTCTCTCGCCTGTATTCATTTACCCTGACTGCACGTCCACTGGGTGCCAGGCACATGCCATGAGATGAGGACACAGACTGTGTCCTACGACTGTGACACTGTCCCTGTCCTGAGGTGCTTCCCATTCATTCACTCAACTCAATCAACAAACATTTATGGAGTTTGACTGTCTGCCAGGCTCTCCTCTAGGCACCAGGAATGCCATCCCTGTCCTCAGGGAGTTTACAGTCTAACAGGGCATTCAGGCTGGTTCACAGACAATTATAATATAGTGGAAAAGCACAGGTGCCAGAGGAGAGTCCAACAGAGGAGACAGATGTGGGAACAGCTGTAGCGACACTGAGCAGTGTGTGTGTGTAGGGGTGGCAGGAGATGGGTTTGAGGGAAGATTCCAGAGCAACATCTGGGCTGGTCTGATGGTTGGGTAGGATCTCTCTGGGTGCAGGAAATGGGGTGTGGAGTGGGGTGGGGCAGGGAGAAAAGAATATCCTACACAGAGAGGACAGAACGAGCGAGAACATGAAGTACTGGCATGTTTAGGGAGCTACAAATAGTCTTCTGTGGCCGGAGTGTGTGGTTAGCGGGAAGAGGGTAGCAGGAGAGTGGAAAGGGCCTCGCAAGCTGTGGAAAGGGTTCGGGTCTTTTCCTGCAGCCTGTGAGGAGCCACCAAAGTTTTTAAGAAACAGTGTGATATGACCACATCTGCATTTTAGGAAAGGACCACTAGACAGACCACTAGACCAGTGGAGTGTGGAGGAAGGGCCAAAGGGCAAGCGGCCAGAGATGGTGTGGCAATTGTATTCCAGTTGGGTGATACCAGGGCAAACCACTCCATTTCTCTGAGCCACAGACGCCTCATCCATCAAACACACATAATAGACACATAAAAGATACTCAGTGAATTATAATTTTTTTGAGCCAGAAAGCCTACTAAGAAGGCTATTGCAATTGCCTGGGCAAAAGATGTAGAGGGCCTGAATTCAACTGCTGACTGTGGGTGGGGAGGAGAAGACACCAGGAGCTAGTTCAGACAGTTGACTTTGGGGATGGAGTTGAGTATGGACTTTGTTTTTCTAAAGCCCCCTGGAGTTCATCTCTGCCTTCAGTCCTCAGGCTCTGCCCCACAGCTCCTCATTCCTATCATCGTCCCGTGCATCTTGCCGCCTGCTCTGCACAGGGTGTTCACTCGTTCCATGCTTGTCCCCCCTCATTTGTCTGGCTGGGTCTCAGCAGAAGCTGCTTGGGCAGAGGCTCTGCTGGCTGAGGCCCCAGGCATGAGGCCCAGGTCAGCAGCAGACACAGAAGTTTAATGGCGGTTCCTGACAACAATCAGATGTGGATGTGCTCAGCCACCAGGTTTGTCCCAGAAGCTGACAGAGGGGGTGAGAAAGGCAGGGCTGGGACCACCAGGAAGGCTGGCTGACTCTTCCTGGTTTCATCAAATGCTCACTGCAGAGCAAAAATCCAGCAGGCCCCCCTGGCCGAGCCCTCAGGCACGGCTTCCCACATTCTCCAGCCCAGCAGCCTTCCTCCCTCACCTGCCTCGAGGGCACCAGCTCCTCACACAGATCCCACTCACAGCGTCGTCCAGAACTTCTGGGCGGGGGTGCTCAAGGTTGGCAATCCTGGGAGGGGAGGAGGCCACGCAGTTTGCATTACATGTGTATAGCAGCCTGTGGGTGCCACTTAGAACATGTGTTCATCTGAGGTTGCCAGCTGTGGAGGGACTTTGGGCAACTATTAAGGACCAAGGCCCCCACAGCCATCACATGGATCCTGGGGACTGTTGTCACTAGTCAGGGGCCAGGCAGTAGTATCCTTGGCTGCAAGTCCCTACACCAGAGAGTCTGGTTCAGGGGTTTGTTTTAAGGTGTTAGTTTGTGTTTTGGTTTTCCCTGTATTTCTGTCCCCTGTTCCAAGGAGATACTAGCCCTTTGGTTTGCTTTCTTTGATTTCTGTAGGGTAGAAATATCTCTTCAAGATTGCTTTGAGGCCACCCCTTGAACTATCTTCCATGGATGGTTCAGCTCATTGGAGAGATGATATTGGGTATTCCTGAGGTGCCACGAGGAGAGAAAGGAAAACCAGGTGAGAGCAGGGGGAGACGGGGCCTGTACCAGGCGGGGAAGGGACCTCTGTGGTCGAGCCTGCTGGCGGGTCTGTGAGGTTTTGAAACCCTGGCCCTGGCATCTCCGTGGGAAGTGGCTGCACCAGGCACTGGGCATGTCCGACCCTGGACACCAATACTGTCAGCCTGGGCAAGGATTCCTGAGCCCTAAGGAAGCATCAACATCACCCAAATCAGAGGCCTGTGGGCCCTGACGAGGAGGAGAGAGCGTGACACGATTGGCTGAGTGTGAGAGCTCCTTCCTTCTCCTGCTTCCTGGGCTCTAGGAGCAAGTGTCTAGGACACTTGTGGGACCTTGGGAAAGGGAAGGCAGCTCAGTAACAGAGGGGATTAAATTTCCTGCCAACCAGTCAGCATGGGGCTCTGAGTTGGAGCTAGGTTGGTCACAATGTTTTTTCAAATAGGACATCTTTTTGTCCACCTGGGTTTATGGAGGAAGATTCATACCTTCTACTGCAGCCCGCACTCAGAACACTTTGTTGGCTGTTCCAGGATGCATCCCTGAGCCAGGTGAATGTGAGCCCCACCATCAGCCTCTACAACCCTAAGGGAAGGAGCTGAAGCAAGCCTGGCCTTGTGGACCACCTTGGTTGACTGTAGCTTCAGGGTTCCCCTTTACCAGGTCGTGGTGGACTGTCAGTTCCTTGGATACACAAGCCTCTGCACCCTCACTGTGTCTCCCCATCATAGATGACCTCTCTGAGCAAAGCTCCCCGCCGCCAACACTGTAGGCACAGCCCACAGGTGCAGCCCGTGCCTAGACCCCTTTTGTATATAAGCAGCCCCTGTGCCTCTCCTTTTCCTAGAACAGGTCTGTAAACTTTCTTCCCACTACCACTCTTCACAGCACAGTAAAGTACAAAGAGACAGGACTTGGGAGCAGAAAACCCATGATGCCGTTCTTACCTGACCACTAGAGCCGGGGCAATCAGCTTCCCTGGGTCTCAGTGTGAAATGGAAATAACAGCTGCTTCGCATGAAAGGAAGCACCAGGGAGAGGCCATGGGGAGAGGCGAATGGCTCCAGTGCTGTGAGAGGTTCTCAATGCAAGGGACCGACTGCCCCTGCCCCCTTTAGAGACCTGGCCCTGGAACTTCAGAGGGAGGGACTGTTTCCTGTTTATCTGGACAACACATGAGCCAGAGCTTTGCACACTGAGATCTCAGATTCACATTAGAATAGACATAGAATCTATTAAATAAAGAGGGTCGTGTGCCCCTCCACGCCAGCTGTGTGTCACAGAGGCTGCAGCAATGGGGCTGGGACCTGGCTCAGCCTCGGACTGTCCCCGAGCTCTCGCAAGTCTCCCCATCACTTTGGAAAGTATACCAAACAAGGAAGTGGCGGGTTTGGTTCTGATCCCGATTCTTTCACTTACCAGGTGTCATTTAACCTCAAGCAAGTTTTCCCAACTGTGGAGTAAAGAAAGGAGGCAGAATGAAGAGCATGAAGAACATTTCCAATCTAAGCCCTCAGCCTCCCTGTCAGTGCAGAGGGAGGTCTCCTCAGTCCTAAATCCCCCTGCACAGCCCTGTCCTGTGCGTGAGGGGGCAGGGTACAGAGCAGAGCTCATCCCTGACCATCCCCCACCCCTCAGGGCCTTTCAGGACCACAGGCCTTCCTTCAGGGCCTCTACTCCCCTCAGTCTGAGGGTCCAGGGGTACACAATGCCTATGGAGAAAAACTGAGGAGGCTGGGAGTGCAGGGGTCCCCAGTTGGCCCCCCTCTTCCCCAGCCTATCTGGAGAGCCCCAGTGAGCTCATGGCTGCAGCAACCCCACGGCTCATAACCAGGATGCTGAGACAAACCTGGAAGGCAGGCACGGGCGAGAAGTGATGGGTGTCTCCTCAGGAATGTGCTGCCCAATTAAAACTGCCTCCCGGATGGAGAGCTCAGGCGGGTGGAGGGCTCAGGCGGATGCTGGGACTACACCCCCACACAGTGCTGGCCCGCCTCCAGGCTGAGTCGTTCTGCGGGCATTTATCAAGGGCCTACTATGCACCAGACCAGGAGCCGGGTGCTGGGGAGACGAGGAGGAACAAGAGCCACACTGGAGAGAACAGTCTACTGTCCCAGACACACTTCGGGAAGCAGGCTGTCAGAAGGCCTCAAGGATTCTGCTGGCTAAGCCCCAGGCCCCCTTTACAGTCCCCGCCAGGCGAAGTCCTGTCTTTTCCTCACCACAGGCCAAAGCCCTTAGCGGGTTTCCTGTCCTTTCCAAAGCACCCACAGCCCTCAGTCTCCTCGGGCCTCCTCTTCCTGTTAGGGTGGAATGAATCAGGCTGCTGCCTCCTCACCTTCCCCGCTTCTGCAACAGCCTGGACAACCCTCTGTAATGTCCACCTGTAGTGTAGACATTAGCTTAATGCCCTCCGTCCTTGGCAGGGTTCCAACAGAGGCCACAAAGTGAGGTGACACCCCTGTGACTGAAGGATGGGCTCAGCCCCCAGATTTCCCAGTGACTTCCCCTCAGACAAGCCAGTCGAACTTGGAAGACAGGCCTCGGACAGGAAAGGGCCCCCCCTCTCTCTAAGGGTGTGTGCCCTAAGGGCAGACGTTAGAAGAGGACAGAAACCTAAGTGTGGCCTACACAGCGTGCGGTAAAAGCAGTCAGACTCCTGGTGTTAAAATCCAGGCTTTCCCCTTCTCTAGCTCTGTGTCTGTATCTTCTGGGATTGCACCCCACTGTGAAAAAGAGGCACTTAAAACCCCCACATTTTTGGGGGGTGGTTATTTTTCTCATGTAATGAGAAGTCAGAAGCGAGGTAATCCAGGTCTTGCATGTGGCTCCAAATGCCATCAGAGACCCAGGCTCCTTTTCATCCTTCCACCCAGCCTTCCTTAGTTAGCATGCACTTCTTGCCTCATGGGCACAAGATGGCTGTCCCATCTCCAACATCAAGACCAAATTCCAAACAAGAAGAGGAAGGTCAAAGTACCAATTAAGTCTCCGTCTCTTTTACAGAGCTTTCCTGGAAGTCCCATACAATCTCTGCTTACCTCTCACTGGCTTGAAGTGTGTCACATGGTAAGAAAGGCTGGGAAGTGTCTTTAATTGAGCATATTGCTGTCCCCAAGAAAAGCAGATTTGTTTTAGTAAGGAATATAAACTGGTATAGAGTTTGCGTGGAGCGAGATGAAGACTAGATTTCAGGAAGGAGAAGGTGTGGGGTGGAGGTGGAAAAGAGGAGCAACGGCTCCTTGTTGCTTCTCACGAAGATTCTTTGCTTGACCAAACTTTAGTCAGGCGCCTGAATCTTCTCCTAGGCCCATCTGCATGCTTCTTTGTAAAATCCAGTTTTAGCAAGAACCCCCGACCCTCCATATCTGATCGTCACCCTCCGTATCTGATTGGGTCCCTCATCCTCCACCACCCCCCAGGTGATATCTGATCAGCCTGGCCTGTCTTCAGCAAGAATCCTGTTAGGTCAGTTTAGCCAGAATTCCCCTCACCCCTGATGTTTCCTCTTAGTAATTTTCCGTCCACTGACCCTTACCCTTGGCTATAAATTCCCACTTGCTCATGCTGTATTCAGAGTTGAGCCCAATCTCTCTCTCTCACTGCAAAGACCCCATCGCCCTGGTCCCTACAACTATTAACATGGCCCCCTTGAACAGAGTCTTCCTTACAATTTTCAACAACTGTCATTCGATATTTTTCTCTTCAACATTTTCTATTGTAAAGGCTCAGTGGGTTGACCAGCAGTTGGGCAGGTGGCTAGACAGCTGCAGGGTTACCAGCCTTTCCCACAGGAGAATGAGGAGAGAGAGACCTCTGAGATTGCCAACCTCACTCTGCCCTGCCAGGCAGGCCCCTCACTCACCCAGTTAAGAATCTCTCCTCTCTCCTCCCCGCCCCCCCCCCCGCCCAGCATCATCTTTTTTGGTTTGTCTTTGTCGGAGCCAACATCTGTTGCCAAGCCTCTTTTTTTTTTTCTGCTTGAGGGAGATTAGCCTGAGCTAACCTCTGTGCCAATCTTCCTCTATTTTGTATGTGCGAGGCCTCCACAGCATGGCTTGATGAGTGGTGTGGGTATACGCGCCGCCCCCGCCGCCGCCCGCCGCCCGCCTGGAACCACGGCCACCGAAGCGGAGCGCGCCGGACTTAACCACAATGCCACAGGCCGGCCTCCAACATCATCTTTAGTAACTTCACCTGCTTAATGTCTGCCGCACTTCCTTCTGCTGCAGGCGAAGCTCAACCTGGCAGTCTGTACAAAGAAACCCACGCTTTAAAAAGAGTTCTCTAATCTCTAATTGTGTGTGTGTGTGTGTGTAGTGTTGGGGAAGGGGAGGCCTTGAAGCAGGATGAGGGCAGGTTCTGTCTTCTGCATCTTTGTCCCCTGAGCGTCTACACAGCCCCTGCGCTCAAAGAATTGTTGAGAATGGCTTCGGTCGCTGGCAGCTCCTTCCCCCCGCCAACCCCGCCACACCTCCCCACTTCCCCACCTTGGCGGAGAGACATTCTGCTTCGGACACTTGATTGGAGCCTTTCCCAGCGTTTCTGGGGAACCACGGAGCATCACCCTCTCTCCCGAGCCCCCCTCCCACAAGCCGCGCGGGGTCCAGGTCTCCTCTGCTCTCTGCCGCCCTCTACCGGCGCAGACAGCTGGGCTGCGAAGAGCGCACGCGCGAGCGCACGCCGGCGTGTCCCCCCTCCCCCCACCTCGGCCAGCTTGCCATTCGGCGCGTGCGCACCGAGTGCCTGCAGCTCCGAGGACCGAAGAGGCAGGTAAAGCCGCCGAAGCGGACAGGTGGCGGGGGCCGAGAAGCTGCCGGGAGTTCGCGCCCTGCAGGTCCGGCGAGTCCGGCGTTCGCTCCCGCCTGGGCAACTCTGGTGGGCTCCGAGCGTCGCTTTTTGTCAGGGGGCGTGACTTGAGCCCGCCTCCCGGGGCTGTGAGTGGAGGGGGATGGGGACCTCTAAGGCCTGTTAACCCGTTTGGTGCAGGTGGTTTGCCCAGGAAGGTTTTCTCGAGGAAAGCACAGAGTTTGCAAGTAGTGGACAGGAAGCAGCCAGGCTGGGCAGGTTGGCGAAAGCGGGCCCTGTTTCTCCAGCTGTATGTAGCGGGTAGGAGGCGGGTGGGGAGCACTGGAACAAAATGAGGGTCCTGGTAGAAATTGTGCAGGTGTTTGGGATCACACGCAGGCTGGCAATTTGATCGTGATTGTGTTCTCACTTTTCTCGTAGAAGGATGCAGTTTTTTTTCTCTTGGCACAGCGTGGCCACTAACGGGCCCTCACTTCCTCTTTGCATCCTAGGACATGACACAAGTGGCACATCCCGGACATGGGGTCCCAGCATTCCGCCTCTGCTCGCCCCTCTTCCTGCAGGCGAAAGAAAGATGACAGGGAGGATTTTCTGGCTGAACGGGAGCAGGAAGAAGCCATCGCTCAGTTTCCGTATGTGGAGTTCACCGGTCGAGATAGCATCACCTGTCTCACGTGCCAAGGGACCGGCTACATTCCAACAGGTGAGAATCTTTGGTGATCAGGGGAAGGATGATTCCCCAATGAGAATCCCAAGGTACCGCAGGGCTTCTCTTGTTTTCTAGACAGAGTTTTCTTCTAGGCAGCAATACCATAATCATAGACCATGCCCTGAACAGGAGCCGGCTCAGCTGACTTGATAAACGTGGGCAGGTTCCACAACTTCTCTTGATTTCCTTATATTTGAAAGCCTTTCTTTTCTTCACTTCTACTCTTTTGTTCTTTGTTTCCTCGGCTTGGAACATTTGGTTTGCTCTCTTTGTGGGGTTTGTTGACAGGCACGTTTGTTTATTGTTCTCACTCGTTCAGGCCTGGCACGGCTTTGGGGGTGGTGGGAACCATCTTGGAAGCGTCTTTTCAAGGAAGCAGATTGTGAATCATTAACAACCTAAGGTCTGAAAAATATATCAAGTGGGAAGAGAAAAACCAACTGCTCAGGAGTGGAGCCTGGATTAGGCGCAGGATCGTCTGTTACTAAGTTGTCTCTCAGAAAGTCTTAACAGTTTCGATGAAGAGCCACAGAGGTTTAGCGCTGGTAAGAACCTTAGAAACCATGTAGTCTGAATCTGTGTTACAGATGAGGAGATAGTGGCCTAGGGAGGGAATGACCTCCCCAAGGCAATGCAGTAAAGCCAGACAAATTCCAGGATTTCTCAGCGTCCTTGTCACTGCTCTGGCACATCATGTCTGACACTCTTTATTGAGTTACTTGTTCCTTGTTCATTAGACCCAAAATGTGAAGCTAGTATCTTAGAAGTGCCTAATTCCAGACGTGCATATTGTGGCAGGATGGTGTGCGATGTGGAGGGAAGTGCTACCAACACTTGGGATTTATTTTACCAAGATAATTGTTTGGTTCTTTTCTAGAGCAAGTAAATGAATTGGTGGCTTTGATCCCACACAGTGATCAGAGGTTGCGCCCTCAGAGAACGTGAGTCACCTGCCTCTCTCCTGTTAATACCTACACCTGTCCCTAGTCTCTTTCTACTTACAAATGCCCGTTAACTTTTTGAAAACTCTAGTCTTGTAAATTCCCTATTTCCTTTAATACTATTTGCTCAAGCAAGATGTCTCTGCCCCCATCGCAATCTGGGGAAGAAGACTTGAAGCTGGAAACATTCTGAGGTGAAGGAATTGAATTGGAAGGAACTGGAGAAAAGGGGTGGCCTGGGAGGTGAAGTGTTTCTGTCCACACAACTCCTGTCTTCAGCTTCTCATCCCACATTGAAAACGGCATTCACATGGGTTTAAGAGGCTTCGCCCACTCCACTCATTCCGCATGGGCTGTGATTCCTGGCTCTTTGTACTTTCCTGTCCCTCCCCCATCCTTCCTGGTTTTGCACTTAATCTTGACGGATTGGACCTTGATATCTGACTGCCTGGGTCGTTCATGTACTGTGTCCTTTGCAGTAAGCAATATGTACTCCTGTCTGTCTTGCTGTGTCTCCTGGCATCTGGGTTGGTGGTTTTCTTCCTCTTTCCACATTCAGTCCTTGTGGATGACGACGGCATCAAAGTGGTGAAAGTCACGTTTAATAAGCAGGACTCCCTGGTGATCCTCGCCATCACGGTAAGACTTTGGGCCTCCCTTCCCAGGTTGTGCACCTGCAAGTCTCAGACCCAGGACACTTACCACTTGTTTCCTCTTTTGCCCTGATCCAGGCCACCCTGAAAATCAGGAACTCCAACTTCTACTCTGTGGCCGTGACCAGCCTGTCCACCCAGGTTCAGTACATGAACACCGTGGTTGGGTCATATGTGACAGCAAATGTCTCCCTTATTCCACCTCGGAGCGAGCACCTGGTATGCCGTTCCTTTAGGATCCTTGCCCCACAGGCCTCAGAGAAGGGGTGGTGGGGATGCCAGAACCTCGTTACTTTCCTTTTCCTCTCCTCATTTCTATTTGTAGGAACTAGTTGATGAGGAAGACCTGACGGGCTCTGTAATTATGAAAAATTGGGGAAAAAAATCAGCTAGCATTTAAGTATTAAGTGAACAAGAGAATTTCTAAGAGAAACAATTTGCTGCAAATCAAGAAGAGGCAATATGATAGTCTCAGGTCCGTTGGCCTCTCAAAAGGGGAGAGCCTGGACGCATTTGTTAGCAGCTCATAGTCTACGGTGGACAGTCTTGGGGAAATATTTTATATGTGATGGAAGAATGCTCCCAGGTCTTTGGGTTGCTAATGATAGTAGTGTTCTATGTCAAGCCCGCTTGGTCACAGACTGACTCTGGTGTCTTATTTTCAGGTGAATTTTACTGTGAAGGCTGAGATGGGAGGACCGTATTCCTATGTGTAGTAAGGACAATATTCTTTATATGTGTGCTCTCCTCTGGGTGAAAGGGATTCAGAATTATACTCAATTGATTGGGGCTGGTCCTGCCCTAAGTCCCAGGCTTTGGCCTGTAGGTTCCCTGGCTTTGGCTGTCTAGAGGTTTATTTGGAGGATGTGTTGTTTGATGTGGAACTGAAATGCTGGAATTTCTAAAAGAGAACCTCGGGTCACTGGAAACATTTCCATTTCCACACTCCAGCATTTATATGATGTGTATGAAAAAACAAAAGTATTGGGCCAGCCCTGTTGGCCTTGTGGTTAAGTTTAGTGCATTCTGCTTTGGTGGCCTGGGTTCAGTTCCCAGGTGCAGACCTATACCACTCCTCTGTCAGTGGCCATGCTGTGGTGGCAGCTCACATACAAAAAGAGGAAGATCAGCAGCAGATGTTAGCTCAGGGTGAATCTTCCTCAGCAAAAAAAAAGAAAAAACAAAAACCCAAAGTATCATGATGTGGGAGGGTGAAAGGACATGTGTGGGGACAGGGAACTAGTGAGCCATGGCAGAACTAAGATCAGAAGGTAGATGTGGGGGAGGGGAGGCCCCCAAACAGGGCTGACTGCTCTTCAATGTGACAGTGTAGCTCAGGACTCTTCTGCTGATGCTTCGTTTTTTAAATCACACTGACCGTTTCCATATTTGCTGTTTGGTAGCTTCTTCTGCACATTGCCGGATATCCTGATTCACAACATAGTGATCTTCATGCGGTACGTCACACTTCTCCCTGTCCCCATGGCCTTTGTGTTTGAGCCTGGACCGTCAGGCTGTGTGAGCTCGCCACCTTTGCTTGAAGATCTTGTGTGACCCACAAGGCGGAGGCACCTAGCCAAAGAGGGGATGCCCGATGCCTTCCAGGCACAGACACAGAGGACCCTTGGTGTCCTCTAGATGCAGTGTCCGAGTCCCTTTCACAAATCATCAGTTTCACAGTGAACAGCTAGGCATATAATTTTCTCCGTGAAATGGGGTCTAATTTTGTGACCCCTTAAGAATCCTAATGAGGCTAGTAAAGAACAGAAAAGCTTTCTCAAGTCGTAAGTACTGGGCATTTGGCCAGATTTGCGCTCTATCCACACAAATTACCATGTCACGGAACTTCTGGGTTATTCCTAGAACCGTGACTGTTAAATTTGCAAGTGATCAGGGTCTGCTGCAGATATTTGAAATATGAGAGTTTACAGCAGGGTCTCTCAGCCTCGCCTCTATGGACGTTTTAGGCCAGACACTTCTTAGTTGTTGGGGCTGTGCTGTGCATTGTAGGATATTTAACAGCCTCTCTGGCCTCTATCCACTAGATGCCAGTAACACTCACCACCTCCTTCCCCCTCAGTTGTAACAACTCAAAATGTCTCCAGGTGTTGCTAGAAGTCCCCTGTTGAGAATCAGTTATTCAGAAGGTCGCCTCATGCCATAGCAGCTCTGTGGATGTGGAAAGATCCTCTGGCCCCCTGGTTACATAACCATAAAGATATGCATCTGGGACCTTGGATTTTGTTGCCTGAGCTTGCAAGAAATTATGTGGGTAATTTTTCTTACTTTTTTCATCTAAAAACCAGAATTAATTCTTCTTGGTTTCTTTTGCGTAGAACTTCAGTGAAGATTTCATACATTGGCCATGTGACCCAGAGCTCCTTGGAGACCCATCACTATGTGGATTGTGGAGCAAATTCTACAGCTGTTTAGAAAGTTCTCTTTGTTCTTCCATGGCAGCACCTGTGAGGAGAAACACAGCTTCTGTTCCCCCTGGACCTGAGTTCCATACCTATTGCAGGTGGTAGAAGG